GTATGGACAGCAGTGCTTCAGTCTTCTTGCTCCCCAGAGGAGAAACTGTCTCAGCAGTGATGAGGCAGACCGGAAGAAATCAGAAATCAGGTCTTCTGTGAATGTTAGGACTATCATCTTTCTGTGTATGTGTGTATCTGTGTGTGAGAGAGAGAGAGGGAGGGAGAGAGAATGTGGTGGTGGTTGAACCCAGTGCCTCAACATGTTAACCAAATGCTTTGCCACTGTACCACACCTCAGGCCCAGCTTCAGTTTTGGATTTCTCAGTTTCTAGAGTCAGCGTTTAAAGCTGGGCATGATTTTAACTACTTGTAGCTTCAGCACTGTGTCTTTGAGTATCAGCAGTGTGGTCGTGGCCTGTGAGTTTGCCTATCTGGGGACCATCTGCCTTCTCTGTAAAGCAGGGACACTAATGATATTCTTGGGAATGGCTTCACATGAGTCCGAGTCCAAATTAGCATCCAGAAGCATTAATGGGACTGAATTATATTTTATATTTTATGTCAACAGCAAATTCTTCATTTGTCAACAGTCTTTTTAATGAAATGATTGGCTTTTACGTTTGAAACAAGCATAGGACAAATTGGTGGGATTTGTTACCTGACCACAGGGGCGCTTTTGATAAATGAGGCTGGCCTAAGCAGCTGTGAAGCCAGTGTTCCCATTTGCCCCATGGAGCCAGTCCAGGAAGGACCCGTGGTCCACACACAGAGTTGGGCCTGACTTAAGAATCTTAAAAATCTGTCAACACAGGCTTGCTGTCCCCTCCCCCACATTGTCTGTGCTCTTCCCTAGGATAGAACCTGAACAACGTATTTTCTAAAGCAGCTGTGTGACTTGCAGTCAGTGAATGCACAGCTGTGTCTGGGCAGCTGTGTCTTGACTTCACTATCACCTGAAGCACATCTGTTTCTTCCAGACTCTTGACCTTGGCAGGCCCATCTGAGTTCTGGTGGACCAGGGTGAGCTAGGGCTGTGTTTCTCCGAGCTCATTTAGGAGCTGGACTGTGTGGAGACTGTGGGAGAACACTGAAGAAGCACACGCAATAGAACCAGGTAGTCTTTTGTAAAATCCGTCCTCTGCCTCCTCTACTGCCGAGGAACAGAATGTAGACACCTGGGAATGTGGCTTCTGTAGACATTACATGGAGGTACTCCCTGTGATGTCACTGTTTGCCTAAGAAGGTTGTAACGATTGCTATTGACTAAGTCTCAGGTGTGTCTTTTCCCATCTCTGCTATCAGCAATGTGAACTGGTGGGACAGGTGGGACAGGTCACACGTGCTTACAGAGCCTCTGTGTGGTCAAAGCGGGACATCTATACTTATCAGTAGTTGCAAAGTACAAGAAACCAATTTTGGTTAATTTAGGCCAAAACGTCTTTATGGGAAGGCTGCTAGCAGAGTCAACAGCAGGCATTAGGAAGGTGATTCCTGGAGTTGGGGAATAAGAACTGGACAGAATTGCATAAAGAGCTGGATGCGCTGGTTAGTTAGTTTTTTGTTTGTTTTTGTTGTCAGCTTGATGCTTGATATAAGCTAAGGTCCAAGCTCAAGGGAGAAAATGCCTCCATAAGATTGTCTCATAGGAGGCTGGAGAGATGGCTTAGTGGTTCAGAACACTTGAAGACCTGGGTTTGGAAAGCTCACAAGCGCCTTCAACTGCAGTTTCAGGAGAGCTGATACCCTTTTCTGGGCACCAGGCACACAAATCTTGCATAGATACACACTCAGGCAAAACACTCACACACATAAGGTGAAATAAAACAAAATAGCATGTAAAGAAATATATTGGCTCTCAAGCAAGTCATGGGGGGCTTAACATGGGAGGACCCAGCCCACTGTGGATGGTGTTGCTCCTGGACAAGTGATCCTGAGTTGTGTAAAAGAGCATGTGCTCCCATGGTCTCTGCTGATCCTGCCTACAGGTTTGTTTCTTGAATTCCTGCCTTGACTTCCCTTCATGATGTACTATAAGCTGTAAGATGAAACAAACCCTTTTGTCTCCCACATTGCTTTTGGTCATGGTATTTGTCACATAATAGATATAGAGTAATAGAAATAGTACTAATATTAGTATTAGTAGTAATAGTATTAATAGTAGTAGAAAGCAAACTAGAATAGAATGCAATGGGATAATGTAGACGAATTGCTAAACAGCCTTATAAATAAAATACACAGAAGCCAGGTATTGGGTTGAATGCTGGAAGATCAGAGAAACAGAACACGCCCCAGCTAACCTCACCTTGCCTCTTCCTCAGCTGATGCTGTTTCCTCAGACTGGAAGCCTCTGAATCCTCATCCAAATGAATCTCAGCTGAACTACTGCTAAAAGACTAAAAGCTTAACCAACCTAGTTCCTGGTCCTCACGCCTTATATACCTTTCTGCTTCCTGCCATCACTTCCTGGAATTAAAGGCGTGAGTCACCATGCTTGGCTATTTCCAGTGTGGCTTTGAACTCACAGAGATCCAGATGGATCTCTGCCTCCAGAAGGCTAG